AACACCTGAGGAATAAACATCCCAAGGTTGATCCTTGGCCACCACAAGTACACATATGCATATTTACGTACACATATAAACACATGCACATATAAAATAAATCAATAATAAAATTCAAATAAAAAAGAGGAAGAACCAAAGAAGTCAACAATATCTGCTATTAATTTAGTTTTAGAAATTGCACCAAATATTTCACATTTTTGTCTTTTTTGACTTCTAGAAATCCTACAAAGAAATATGTTTTTTCCCAGTGAGGGTTCTGAGCTTGAGGATAGCTGATGACCTGCCATAGCAGTCTGTCAGCATGACAGAGCCAAGTGAGCATTCGACTCCAAGGGCCATGATGTCTCCCATTGCTTTACCAAGCTGAGAGTCTTTGATCTGTCCTAGCATTTCCACAGCACATCTATGAGCACCAGGGTAATAACCTTCTGACCTGAGAGTAAACCCGAGTCTTTTCTGACAATTCCTCTTGTCAAGAGCATGACAAACAGGAAAAACAACGATAAGCATGGGAGTCACGCTATACATTCCTCTCCTTCAAAGCCTGTTCAAGTTATCCATGAGCATTCAACTCCTTCCTACTTCCTATGATAGCATCAGGCAGTCTCCTTGTACTGAGGAAGGTTCCTACCATGTGGTGTTTTAGGCTCCTTAGCCCTCAGTTTCAGAGCTTCCATCTCTCTGTACTGGGCTCTTTGTGTGACTACGAGGTTACTGTTTCAGAGACACATGGCATGCACAGTAGATCTAGGGTCATGAGTAGAATGTCCAGGAGCACAGTAGGTAGATCTCTTATCATTGACCCAGGGCTCCCAAGCTTCAGAAAGGCTTAGGGAAACCTCCTAAGTGTATGGCCTCGTAAACAAACAATATATCACCTGGATTTATTCCTCAGTGGCTTAGGTAGTCTCCCACTGGGTTTACTACAATTCACTACTGGGGTGTGGCTAAGTCTTACTTGCAGAAGACATGCATTCTCTACAAGATAGTCTTAACAACCAACTCATCTACTTGATTAAAATATGTGGTTTATATAAGACTATAAAGCTTCAACCTATGGGGCACCTTCTTATTCCAAGGTTCAAACATGCAGGTAGAGGCAGAGACTGAAGTGATGTGTTCACAAGCCAAAGAAACCAATGACTGTTTGTAAGCAACATAAGTTATAAGACAAGCCTAGGAAAGACTCCCTTTAGCATCCCCAGGAGAAAGTGACCTGCCAACTTGGAATTCCAACTCCTACCTCTAGAACTATGACAGAAAAAATACTGCCATTTTAAGCTTTCTGGGTTGTAGTTATTTGTGATGGGAATTTTGGGAAATGAATTAAAGAAGTAAATGCCTATGGCTTCTAAATGGACAAGAAGGTAAGTTTCATAAAATAAATGCATGTTTTCCTTTGCTTTTACCTGTTCCAAATATTCTTTTTACTGACATTGAATAGCCCTGCTTTGCTATTTGGGGTTATAGCTGAAAAGCACCATTAGAAGCAAATTAAGGGAGAAAATAGACTGAGCCAATGGATAAACCTTATTTCACTTGAAGGACAGGAGGTTAGGTGAGGAAGATGTAGGGGTATGCTTTGCAGAATTGAGTCAAGTTTACTATTTTTAAGCATATGACCAGAGAGGGAAGCTGCTTGCCCCTAATGGCAGCCTCCTGCACAGCAATCCTGTACCAAGCCAGCACAGCAAAGGGAGCCTGTATTGTGTAAGAAGGTACTTCAGTGGCGTGTGTGTGTGTGTGTGTGTGTGTGTGTGTGTGTGTGTGTGTGTGTATGTGTGTGTGAGTACATTCACAGTCTGTTATACTTTGCTTTGGGGATGTTACCTTATTAGATTATGTAACCTGTATGCTTCCCTTTATTTTTCCTCTTTTAATCCATACCTTCCAAATATAGATGGGGAATGTTCTAGTCATTTGGTAGTGACTAGTACTTTAATAAAAAAGAAACAAACGACAAATCTACTCACGAGTCTGACAGATCCTCCAATAATCATCAACAGAGACAAGAAATGAGGCTCACTCATATTCACAAATATTGAGGATCTTGGTGTGACAGACCTTTTCAGTCTTTATGGATTAACTTCTTTCTTGACAAATAATATGTATATATGTATAATTCTATTTGCATATGTGTGTACATGTTCTTGTGAAATGCGTATTTATAGTGGAATGGCTAAACTCAGCTAATATACCCATTAGCCAACATGCTTGTCATATTCTTATGAGAATACTTCCAGCCTATTATATAAACTTTCAAGAACAAAACTATTGTTATTAGCTGTAGTAGCCATGATGTACAACAGAGATTTTGAACTTATTCATCTCAAATGAAATCCTGTACCCTTTGACGTTCTAGCAATACTTGGTAGCCACTACTCTGTGGTGAGATTTATGTTCTCAGTCTCTACAGGAAAGTAAGATCATACAGTACTAGCCATCTTATTCCTTGTTCATTTCATGTGACGTGGTGTCAGAGAGGCTCACAATGTTGTTAGGAATAGAATGACATACTTTCTAAAGGACAAAGAGTACTGATATTACATTACATGGGTCATATTACCTTCCTCTGTTCATCTGCTGACAGACAAGAGTTGATACTGTACCTTGGCTACCATGAGTAGTGTTCAGTAAACAAAGAGGAATAGCTTTGTAGGTATCCTGAATCCATTTTTTATATATGCCATATAGTGAAATTCTGGGTTACAGAGCAGTCCTATATGTGTAAGTATTTTATGTATATATATATATGTATGTATGTATGTATATGTATGTATGTGTGATATTTTAGCAACCTCTTTAGCATTTTCCTTAGTAGCTGGACTACCACCAGTATGCAAGGAATTCATTTTCTCCATATCTTTGCCATCATTTGTTACCTTCCTTCCTTTTGATAATGGCCATGTAAGCATTTATTCTGGTAACACATAGATGGGTAATATATACAAAAGATCTCCAGTAGGACAACAGAACACAAGCAAGGTCAATACAGTATGAGTGACAAACGATATAGAGACAAAAAGAAGGGAAAGGAACAGAGCAGTGGAAATGTGGAGGGTGGCGGTGGCATTTTCCAAAGTGTCCAAAGCAATCCACAGTAAGCAGGTGATAATTTGTGTAAGCCCTAAGAGAAGAATGATTGAGACTGCCATGACTGAGCCCAGCATGTTCAAAGAACCAGAGGTCAAGACATGGCTGGCACATCTGGGGAGATGTGAGGAGGATGTGGCTACAGAGCAGTATATACAGAACAGTGGATGTCATAACAGAAAACCCATTTTTCTGGACCTTGTAAGGCACAAAAGTATACATTTCCCACAAGTACTTCAGAGACCCCTAGAAGATTTGGCAGAGAGACCACATATGGCTGGGAGGCCTTTGTAAGGTCATTGATCTGAACATTGGTTTTCCTGCTTCTCAAAGGCCAAAGCTGTACCAGGAAAATAATTAAGTTTCCCCCTAGCTATAAAAATTGACTCCTAGACATCTAAATACATAACTTCTTGCAGGCAGATTGCTAACAGAGGGCATTAGCCTCTTTCCCACCTGTGCCTACCTCCTGTTTGAAGGGTCTGCAGAAGCTACATGCACCTGTGCTGAGCTATATGTATAGTGGGATTCCCAAAGAGCAAAGGGGCTTCGGGGAAGGATGATCTGCCAGTCAGACTCATGGGAACAGGAGGTCCTAAGCAAGATGACACAGTCTCCCATGGATGGAGTGCTCTGCTTAGGAGAAGGGACACACACATTGTGAAATGTAAGAAAGTGGCAGAAGATTAATATCGTTTTGTTCTACATTAAGTAAAAATTTAAAAATAAGCATTTTCATTTCTAATTATTTCGTATCATGCATGATGTGCTCACTTCAATTTTCAAGTCCGTTTGCTTCATTTCTGTGAACCATCTGAGCCTAAGGCGCATCCATCCAGCAGGATTTCTGCCTAAATATGCAAGTGTGTGTGTGTGTGTGTGTGTGTGTGTGTGTTCACTCCCTCTCTTCCTTTGTTCTTTCCCAGTACAAATGACACAGATATTTTTAGCAAAAACAGATAACAGGCATTTCTGACTTTCTTTTTCTTGGTTTCTGTTTTTCTTTTTAAAATCTTTCTACTTCTCACTGAAGGAACTAAAGGTTCCTAGCTTCACACAGAAGAGCCATTGCTGGAACAGTTACTGCTGAATATAGAACGATGCTACATATTTATTTTTCAGGGAAAGGGAGCTGGGATTGACATGTGAAACAAGCTTGTTTCTAACTAAATTAAAAAAAAAAGAAGAAAGAGAAAACAATCCTATGAACAATAGCCTGCATGCTCACTCTTAAGTTTATTCCCAGCAATTATATTACTAATCAATTGGGACATGTGGTAAGAGTGACCTAAGGATTCAGAAACCTTCCAGAGTGATCACAGAGCACTACTGGTCGACCATACTTATGTTACACAGAATTCTGGGGGCAGTGGTCTAGGAAACACATTTGGAGTCCAAAACCATGGTGACTCTGGATTCTAGATGTTACACAGTGGCTCTACTACATACAATAGCCATGATGGCAGCACACAGACAGAAACTATCAAATTCTCAGAAGATGCTTGGTCTGTAAGTAAGTGAAGAATGAACAGATGTTAACCTGCCCCCTCCATGGGCACATTTCCATGCAGTGCTGGCTGGCTGTTAATGCGCGGACGTAATCCACAGCTACTATACACATAGGAAGTTCCAACTGAACACTGGACAGATGACACAAGATATGTCCTCAGAATCAAGGCCATAGTCCATCTAGACTACCTAGCAAGAGCTATGTGTGAATCAGAATGTTCACAAGAGACATGTTTAGAACTCAGCTTTTCCTGCCATGATTTTTTCATTATGTCTTGCAAGGGAGATCAGACAACAAGAATTCCAGGCCTAGGTTCTTTCTCCCTCCTTGGCCCCATGGGCTTCTGTCCTTCACTGAGGACAGGCCTGACTCCTTAGAGTGGAGTCCCTCTTACCTCTGCTGCAGGGACTCCCTCTGGCGGGCGGCAGTGCAACACGATCATGCCTTCAATAGGAACCTCTCTGCCTTGTGGATCTTGTTCAAAGTTTTTCCGTAAATCTGCAAAGAAGCACAAGATATGTATATGCCACTTTGAGATAGGACTGGCATTACTCACATGTGGCCCTAATCCAATAAAACAGCAAGCTTCATGTCAAAAGTTAGATACACACAAATATGTCACTTTCTGACACTTCGGAGTACTGTTTTCCAATACTCATAAATGCATCTGAAATATACCTTAACAAAATGGTTTCACCACTTTATATTGATATGAAGGAAGAACAACTACTAGGAGACCAGAAAAAAACTCATAATTTCATGAGCATTTGTCACTATTATCTGTTCAGCATCTGATGAAACACTTGGTGTAATAAATAACTGTCTGTAGCCATTATGAAGTTGAGATGCACATGAATTTTTTTGTTGTTCACTGAAGAATACATTATTAATCTGTAACCTCCGTCATTCCCTTAACCCTCTGGGGAGCTGTAGAAGACAGTAATAGAGTGAGATTACCTATTTGTCTTTTTATTTGTAACCAGGGAGAAAGGGCCATAGCCATTCACAACAAAATCCATAACCTATCCAACCAGATATATAATTAAGAAATGCAAGGCCCTCTAGTCAAGCAGCCATGCTGGGGATGTGGGCAGTGCCCTTCACATAGGGCTCCGGGCACTTTGCAAACAAGCTGCACTATTAACCTTTTACACATGGAGAGGTGACACTTGTGGAGGTTAATTGGCTTGCCAGTGGTCACAGAACGCATCAGTGCCAGTGAGAGGGGAAAATTCACTCTGCTTCATGACATGCAGCCCGACTGCCAACCAGCAGGGCCTTCTCAGGGAAGAGGACAGTGCAGCAGGGAGAGCACCAGCTTCATTTGCATAGCTTTCTACTCTACCATTTTAAAGGGTAGGCAGCTGGCCTTGGCTCCTAGGGAGGTGTCCGGACAACTCTCTGATAATCTTCCTAAACAAGGTAATTTTTGCTGTCACCTGGATACACAGGACAGTGGAGCCAAGACAGGTTGTTTACAATTCTTCCTCCATGAAAGGCATTTCCTCCCTGACAATGTATTTTTCTTCAAATTGAGTATCTCAAATTACAGACTGTGGATTTATTGATTTAATTTTCTTCAGTGCTTACAATAACATGAAATATGTCCTCTGTAAAGAGCAGAGCTCCAGAATCAGTTACATCTTTATAAATTGTATAAATACATTAAACTTGCTTTTAGCAAGTCAAAAATACCCGATGAATAACTAGTTCAGCCATGCACATATTCACTTCGCTCGGAATGCTTTCCTCCCAGAGACAACCAGCATCAGTACATTCAGAGGGCTTTTTATGTGTCTGGGATATAAAGGAAACGCCTTCTCATTCTCTGTTGTCCGGAATTGAGTTCTAGAGGCAGCATCCTTATATCCAAGCTCTTTGAATTTTCCCAATCATCAGAGTTCCTGACTCTGAGTGTGATAGGCGCACAAAACTGCCAATAAAAGCAAGATGCAAAGGGAGTGAATACTCCCAGAGTTGGAAGTCTGTTTGCTGCACAATCCACCACACGACATGTTTTGTGTGCTGAGCCAAAACTCTCGAAGGGCCTTAATGCTCAGAATTACATCAAAACTTGTGTACAGAAACTAAAGTGAGTTCAATAGCCAAAATGCCAGGTGGTAATGGAGAGAGTTGTCATGTGGATGGCATGTTTGCTGTGTTGTCTTCCCCACCGCCTCCCACCTCCTTGGTCAGTGTATCTGCCAAGAGGAGTCTTACCCAGTGGTAGCAAATGATCGTCTGAGTTTTGCTTCCATAAATTTTCTGTGTTTAACCAAGTAAAACACAAAAATATAATACTAGGAATTTCAATATATTCTTCTGATTTTGCTTCTTGTCTTTACTCAGTACAAATGAAAATGGTAACTGTGGTGTTTGAATAGGAATGGTCCCCATAGATGCATATGTTTGAATGCTTGGCCCATATGAAGGGATACTATTATTTTTAAGGAGCAAGTGTGTCAAGGTAGGGGCAGGCTTTGAAGTCTCATATGCTCAAGCTATGCCCAGTGTGGCTCACAGTCTCTTTCTGCTTCTTGCAGATCAATTTGTAGAATTCTTAGCTCCTTCACCAGGACCACGTCTGGCTGCACATTGCCATAATGATAATGGTCTAAGCCTTTGAAACTGTAAGCCAGCCCCATTAAAATGTTTTCCTTTATAAGTTGCATGGTCACAGTGTCTCTTCACATCAATAAAATCCTAACTATGACAGTAATAGATGGTTATCCTTGCTTTATACTAACTACATCAGGAAGCAGAAAGACAGCTTTAATGAGGTCATATCTTCTCCAATGGACTACCCTGCATTGACACTGGGATCTGTTTATTTCCTACAACCAAACTACTTGAGGAAATCTCTAATAGATTTCATGTGGAAGAATCAGATTCAAGAGAGGACCAAGCTATCTTGCTTCCCCATCCCACTTGGAACCATTTGAAGAGCCCACCAGGATGTGCATTTGTCACTAAATACAGAGGAACACAGGGAACGGGCAGAGAAAGTCTACAAGGCTGTATTCATCAGTAATATCAGGTACCCCATCAGGAGTCAGATATCACTTCAAATAAGAAACCCCTTGACTTTAGAGCTCTGATCCAATCCCAAGTCTGGGAGAAGGCTGCATCTGTGAATCTTAAAGAAAGGGGTCCACATATAAATTCCAGCTAGTCCCTGAACATACTCAAAATTACAGGAATCAACCCTTTGCTACAGCAGCAATTCTTCCTGTTCTAGTTATGATTCTTGCCCCAGGCCATGAAAACTCATTAGTTTCTGAATAGGCAATCTAAGCAACAGCAGTCTTTCTAGATCTAGAAAGATACACACTGGGGACTACACAAGTTCTAACATCAGGCAACCCATCTCCAGATGCGCAAAACGAATTGTGGCACAAAATAAAGGAACTGTAAAACTGAAGGACCAGGAGGTTCAGAAGCACGATTAGTCTTCAACAATTTCTGACTCAAGTTCTGTGACCAAACAACCAAGAACCAAAATAGGGTGTTATGGATACATTAGTATTTGTGATCATGTTTGAATCTAGCATGGCAATATGAACATCTTCATCCAATAAATATCTTAAATTCTCTTTTACTCATCTCTGCACCTGTAATAAGATAATGATTGCTGCTACATATAGCCTTTTATTTTTAAAGTCAGGGTCTCAGTATATATCCCTGGTTTGCCTGGCATTCTCTGTGTGGACCAGGATAACCTTGGACTCACAGAGAGCCAGCTTCCTCTGCCTCCAAAATTCTCAGACTAAAGGCATGTGTAACCACACCTGACTACACACAGCTTTTATAAAGATTAAATATTAACACATACAACAACCTTCCCAAGCACAATGGCTATACAACAGGGTTAAGGTCTTATATATTACTACATTCCATGATAAAGCTATGATGATTAATATGGGATGATTTTTATCATAAATCAGATACAAATTAATTATAAAGTGGAGCATTTTTAGAGGCACTCAAATAAAAAGTATAATTTAATACATGATAAATTAAGTGGGAAAAGGGATTAAAATGAGTCATTGCCTTTCTGAAGAAAAAATGTAGATATATGCCTTGCTTTATATGAAAATAAATGCCATGGTAATAAAAACATTTTAAAAGGAAACCACAGCAGTAATAAAATATCTAGAGAAGCTGAAAAGGTGGATTTCTTTTAACTAGAAGAATAAGCCATTAAGATCGATAGTTATTATTTAGTTAAAAATTATTTTCCCTAAAACATTGTAAATAAAATACTATGTAGTCAATGACCTTAGTAAGTTAAAAATTCATATAAAACACAATGGAAATTATAGATACTCTGAGGTAAAATGACAAAGGGGCTGGAAACTATTTATAAAAATAAAAGACTCAAATGGCTAAAGATAAATAATGGGCAGTATCGATAGTTATTACAGAAATGCTAGCTAAGCAACTATCAACACATCTCTTCTCATCTTCTATGTGAACAAATTTTATTCATTTCTTTATTTTAATTCCCAGGTTGGAAATGAAATCAGGTTGGGATAGTCTTGAATGTTTCTAGGAGAAAAGGCCAGGTGTATGTGAACAACAAGTTGCAAATGTATCAAATTGTTTTTGAAGGTTCAATTATATGGGAATTATCTTATAATAGATGCATAATAATCATAGAATATTATTTGGCAATAAAATCAAAATGCTAATTCATGTGATGGCATGGCTAAATTTTAAATGCATAATTTATATTATTTGAACATAGCCATTCACCAAAGGCTATATATTGTATGATTCCTTTTATATGAAATAGACACAATAGGTGGTAATGTCAAACAGTGAGTAAACAGGTTAGGAGGTCAGCTGGGGCTGAAACAAATGAGGGAAGAAGACTAATAATAACCCTTTGGTTAATATAAAAAAAACCTAGAATTGCCCTGGATGATGGTTATAGATCTGTGACTATACTCACAACTATTGATTTATATATTTAAGAGAATCACACATTCTATGGCTATTTCAGTAACACTGTAATTTTTAAAGTTTCACTGATACAACTCTATAATTCTACAAGTATAGTTATGAAAATGATTAGAGAACTATGTGAAAAATATATGTAGACTGATAGTACCTCAAACCAATCACAGGTAGAAACCTGAATATTTAATACTGTGGGAATAGTTAATATTCTTTAGTACAATCACACACTGGAATACTATGCAGAAATGAAAGACTAGCAGGACATGGTATTTAAGATTTAAGTTATAGACAATGGAATGCTAAACAAGATAGTATAGTATGATAGAATATTAATCATACATGTTATATATTTATTTTATTAGAGGAAAATCACTAGGCAAATATGCACTTGATACAGAATATACCTGCTTCCACATGATAGCGCAGAAGTGAAAATTAAAACCCTCTCTTGGGTAGCCCTTCCCTGTATGTTACATCAGGGTTCAGAAAATGTGTCATAGCAGATCTCTGTGAGTTCGAGACCAGCCTGGTCTACA